TTTTAGATTTTTCTAGCATTCAGGGGGGGGGGGGGTTCCCTGCACGTGTGGCCGGGAGATATTACACCAATAAAGTTACACCCTGTGTAGTCTAAAAGAAGAAAAATGAGCGTACCTGGAGCTCTGTAATTCAATTATCGGCAGAGATATTACAGATTTAATTTTTTCTTCTAAAAACTTTTTTCCAATTCTAATTTCGAGCCACTAACAACAATAATAAAAAAATTTTAACCTATAGATTTTATCGAAAATTTTATCAGCATTTTGAAAAAAATATAGTTTTTGTGTATCCATGTATTTTGGCATGAAAAACGCAAAAAGAGAATTGCACATGATCATCTGGGTTCGTTCCCCACCATTTTTGGTTCATTTTTGTTTTTTTCCTTTATTTTTGATTTTGGTGCTCTGAAGAATTCAGAGACGAAATGGAGAAAAAAACAAAATTAATCCCTCCCAAACAATTAGTTTTTCGAAAATATCTCGGAATCTAAAGGAGATGGAGAAATTTTTGAATAAATCTTTTTTGTATGATAGAACGAGATCTACAAAAAAACTTTTGTGCAATTTTTTCCATCTGTCGTACATTTAGAGATGTTAGTTTAAGAATTATCTTCAGATTCAGTTGCTTGCCCGGTGGCTTGGCGCGGTGGGTAAGTTCGTTGCCTCACATGCGAAAGGTTCCGAGTTCAAATCCCGGCCGGATAGAATGGTGCGATCTAACCATTTTAAAGTCTTGATCATCATCGTAGTATACCCTAAACGGGTCGAAGCGATAGAAAATAACGATAAAAAAATTCAGTTGCTAATTAATTTTTTTACAATATCTCAGGATTAAAATAAAATATCGACTTCTTGGCGAAATCCTTTCTTGTAGAGAAAAACGAGATGTACCAAAAAGGTTATTACAAAAATCCCTGTCTTTTGCCTTCTGAGGTATTGTCCAAAAATTAATTTTCGGATTTGAGTGACGCGTCTGATTTCATATCTTCACCTATATACTATTAAGTTCTGTGCTGAGTTACGATATTCATGAAATTAAATTTCTACAAATCAATGCTCACTGAGCGGTCGGTTCAAGCGCGCGAGGGGAGTTCCAGCTGCATCTCCACTTGAATTTATAGACGGGATCATAGATTCCAAGAGACTTTATTTCTCAACCAATTGAAAAAAAATCAATTATTAATATCTCCGCAAATTATTGAGATATGTGGCTGTAGCGGTCGCACGGGGAGTGTGTGGCTCTGGCGGTCATCCGGGCTAAGCAGCGTTTAGTCTGTCCAGTACTAGGATGGGTGTCCGCTAGGCACACCTAACCGCGTGGGACTACAGTCGCTAGGCACGAATGTAGAGAACCACTGTACCCATTGAGTCAGTGTGACCAATGGACACAATGGAATCCTTGCATTATCGGCCGGCGGCACGACTGAGGTTTCCATGGTTTCCCTANTTTTTCGAAAATATCTCGGAATCTAAAGGAGATGGAGAAATTTTTGAATAAATCTTTTTTGTATGATAGAACGAGATCTACAAAAAAACTTTTGTGCAATTTTTTCCATCTGTCGTACATTTAGAGATGTTAGTTTAAGAATTATCTTCAGATTCAGTTGCTTGCCCGGTGGCTTGGCGCGGTGGGTAAGTTCGTTGCCTCACATGCGAAAGGTTCCGAGTTCAAATCCCGGCCGGATAGAATGGTGCGATCTAACCATTTTAAAGTCTTGATCATCATCGTAGTATACCCTAAACGGGTCGAAGCGATAGAAAATAACGATAAAAAAATTCAGTTGCTAATTAATTTTTTTACAATATCTCAGGATTAAAATAAAATATCGACTTCTTGGCGAAATCCTTTCTTGTAGAGAAAAACGAGATGTACCAAAAAGGTTATTACAAAAATCCCTGTCTTTTGCCTTCTGAGGTATTGTCCAAAAATTAATTTTCGGATTTGAGTGACGCGTCTGATTTCATATCTTCACCTATATACTATTAAGTTCTGTGCTGAGTTACGATATTCATGAAATTAAATTTCTACAAATCAATGCTCACTGAGCGGTCGGTTCAAGCGCGCGAGGGGAGTTCCAGCTGCATCTCCACTTGAATTTATAGACGGGATCATAGATTCCAAGAGACTTTATTTCTCAACCAATTGAAAAAAAATCAATTATTAATATCTCCGCAAATTATTGAGATATGTGGCTGTAGCGGTCGCACGGGGAGTGTGTGGCTCTGGCGGTCATCCGGGCTAAGCAGCGTTTAGTCTGTCCAGTACTAGGATGGGTGTCCGCTAGGCACACCTAACCGCGTGGGACTACAGTCGCTAGGCACGAATGTAGAGAACCACTGTACCCATTGAGTCAGTGTGACCAATGGACACAATGGAATCCTTGCATTATCGGCCGGCGGCACGACTGAGGTTTCCATGGTTTCCCTAGCAGTCCAATCCCGAATGGGGTGTAGTTGGGGATAAAGTAAGTCGGCCCATGGTAACGCAGATAGGGAAGGGAACAAAAATGTAAAAACCCGAGAGGGTATACATATGGAACACAAAAAAAATTATTGAGATATAGAGAGCTCCAGTTGTGCTCATTTTTCTTCTTTTGGTCGATACTTATTGATAAAAAATAGTGAAAAACTTAAAATTTCGAAGCAATTTTTCATATACTAAATTGGCGGATTCGCCCAGAGATATTTTGAAAGGGGAGAAAATTCAAGTGCCAATATGACAAATTTTGCTGCAAAATTCCTGGATTTTGTAACCAAATTTTTGGTACTGTTAACTCATTTTTTCTCGCGTCCGTCGAAATGGACCCATTTTACCGTGCTACATTTAGTAACTTTTCTTATATTTTATTCTCCTTAAAATCGTTTTCTACCGACGTCGGTGGCCGAGTGGCCTAGACGCAAGTCTAGTGTGCGAAAAGTTGTAGTTCGATTTTCAGTGGAACCGACTTTTTCAACGGAAGGCTCTGATGAGGAGCGGGAGGTTGCGAATAGAGTAACCACAATGTAGGTAGTGGTCGGTAAGAGTGCCGAAATGAGACCGGAAATTGGGGATTCAAAAGGCCGTTAAAAAAATCCTTTTCTTAGCTAGTGAAAATTCAAACCTATTATCTCGGGGACAATTCCGGGGAATTTTATCTTCATTTCAAGTGCAGGGACACCTATTAGATGCCTGTGAAAATTGGGTACCTAGGCCTCGCCGAAACCGAGACCAATAAATGAGACCAATAAATCCTCCTCTGGGTTGTCATCGGGGTAAATAATCGGGGTATCTGCCTATCATCAATATTATTTCCATGTGACAAACTCGTTCGATGTGGAACGTTCCTAACTTCTCATGAAAAACGCTCGTTACTCAGAATTTTTTAGTGGTAAATGGATCTGCCGTTCCTATGCTCAATAATATTTTTCAGGAAAGTTCCGTCTATTTAATTTTTTGTACTTTTCATTAGCACTTCTTCCATGTCAGCGGAGTAACAATTTTGTCTGATTTTTCGTGGATGTTTACACGAATTCTTACGATCTAGCACCGCACTCACTTTCATTCAACATTCCTAGAAATTTTGCTCAAAATCATCTTTCTATGCAGCTGAATTCATAAAAATTGAAAAAGTGAATCCTTCACAGCTAATTAGTTCAGTTCAATGCGCTTCCATTTGCGTTTATTGTCACTTTCGTTTGTAGTTCGACTCTACAACGACCCGAGACACGCTTTCCGTTGAAAAAAAAAAGGCTTGCCGTCCTTTCACCGTCCGGCCAACAGAAACATCAACGAATTCTCACGGGAAACCAATATTAACAGTGAAATTCATACACTGGTATGGATGTTGATTCCTGAAGACTTTCACAGTTATTTGTAATTTTACTGTGAATTGCAATATCCTTGAGTTTGTAGTTTTCAAATTTACATTCCAAAATAAATGGATGGATAATTAAGAAATGGCTAACATTATCTATCGCATCTTTCCGGTGATTATTGATTATTACTATCACTCATTAATTATTTTTAATTATAGATTACCACTTTATTATTTCACTTTTACGAATGATTTTTTTCTTAAGAATCGTTATGTGAGTTTAGTAGTTGTATTTTGAAACCGGTGGCGATAAATCCATTTTTAATAAATCGATAAGTCATAGCTATAAACGGTAAAAATAATATTTCCTCTATTCCACTCATATGATGATGAAAACGTGTTTGATGATTTCAAGATTTTGTCATGTGATAATCAATCAAACTATGGATTGTTTGTTTTTTTTATAAAATAATATACATTTCCGTGTGAAAAAATTCACTCACTGAGTGCAATCGAAGAACAAAGCCCTCGACAATACTTCGAACGACTTTGACCCACTGAATCTTTCATGTATGTTCGATTATTTTCCACTTCACCCAGATATTTGCCATAAAATTGCTGTCACATCAAAACACGTGCATAGTCATCACTTTAATAATGTTAAGTGGAAACCAAGAAAATTATTCAATCATAATACGTCAATGCTATATTGAATACCTGCAACTTCATCTTATTTCTTAAATAAAAGCTGGCATGCGCTAATTTAAATTCTGAACTTTGGTATTTCGCGAGTTCTTCATCGGGACAGATTGTCAGCCAGTTTTTTCGATCGGAAATTTCCTTGACTTTTCAGTGGCACAATTCCCAACAAATCAGAGGAATGAAAAGAAATCTGTTACGAATAAGTAAACATCTATGTCCAATCTGGTATTACATACCTTCCTCAACCGAAAAAATTCGCAACATATTCTTGCCCTCACTTTCTTCTCAATAAAATAACGGTTTTTCGCAATTCACACGTGTTATTGGCGTATTTTAATTGAACGAATCAATTAGGCTTTGCATGAGCATCATTTGTCAGCGAAATTAATGGCGAGTTTATACGCCTCGTAACGAACTTGGTTTCGTGAAATGGACGCGTGAAAATGTTACGAACCTGTCGTCAAGGTCACGAGATGAAAAAATTGATTCAAGTCTAAAGGTTACCTGGTCGGTGCCACTGCCGTCATTTTCTTTATCTTCAACTATGAACTGGAAAAACACTTCAATAAAAATCCATTATGTTCACTTTTACATCTTGAACTTATTGATTTATCCACCAATAACAGTTTTAATTTGAGAAAAAAAATTAAAATCTGATTTTTTTCTTGTAGCAATTTATGAAAAATGATTCTTATAAATCATATAATTTTTTGCTAGTTGGAATTTAAATAATATTATTCAAATGAAACTGAGAAATATTGTTTTTATCGACGGAACCCTGGTAGGAGATGCGAAAAGGCCCAGGGTAGGCCCACGGTGGCCTGGTGCTGGTCAATATTGGGCCACCCTCGACCAATCTTAGTCCATGCCTCATCTCCTACCAGCAAAATAATCATCACCGCAATCTAATTTCAACAATAAGAAAAATTGAGCCTATTTATTCAATATTCACTTGCAATTACCTGTTCTGGGTAACAAACAAAAATTGATTTCTTTGTTAAATTTCATTGACAACAAATAAACGTTTGGCACGTGGTCGATGGAAACTTAAACGTCACGTAAACTGAAGTGATTCCTTCTACAGCCAACGATCGACTATTTTTATCCGTCACCACGCGTATAACCACATACTTTACTCACTCTTTATTATCTATTGGAGAATAATGCGCACAGAGGGCAATTCTCACTCTGAGAATGTGACTCGTGTCCTGAACGGAATAAATCGATTGTGATATAAACTTGACAATGCTGTGGGGTTCGACAAAAGAGATGTATCAAATTATTATTATTGTCTTCCGGATGAGCACATGACGTGGAGAATTCTGGTATGTAATTCAAGTCGCGTCATGCCTCTGTCCATATGATATCATGATGGCTATTTACCTTTTTCTGATTGTTTAATTATTCATTTGTTTTTGAGGAGCGCTGTAACATAATGATAATGACCACCCACTGAGTTAGCTTCAAATATTCAAACTAGTGAATCAGTTGACGATAGTTAGGTTTACTGGCTAATCATGAAATTGAAGTTTTGGCTAGATCTGGGAAGTAGAGATAATGGGAATTTAATCAACAGCATCAGATTGATTTGCAAGAATCAATCGGTGACGGTTTTAAACCCAGTAAGATGGATATCTATCGAAAAATTAAATGTTCCGCAATAAAAGCTTCTGTGTGCATGGGCCCTGATTATGATGTTGTAAGTTCAAGTAGCCACCCCCCCCTCCCCCCCGCCTCAAGGGGTTAAGGAAATTACAGAAAAGGAGCTTAAAAGGAGCTTTGAAAGGATGTAAAAAATTGAATGAATATTAATTTCGACTTTCCGTGCGCATGTGATCCAATGAGAAAGTGTACGCCTATTACATCTTCTTTATTCATATTTTCGATATTTCATTGGGGTTGCTGGGTAGAGCGTGTGGCAAAAATGTCTCACATTTTTCCTCTAGCGGTAAGAAAACGGAAGTTCTTTGTTAATCATCTAAGGAATACTCTGATCGTATCACAAATTGCTCCCCGTTTTCAATATCTCAAGGTATCACCAAAAACTGTTCTCAAATTGAGATCCAAGTTTTGCTGTGTGGTAATCTATAAGGTATCACACTAGCAGGAATGCCTCGAACTTAATTTGACAATTGCATTGTAATTTTTTTTGTTATGGTTTCAAATTGCACTAAAAAAATTAGTCATCAAAATTGCAAATGAATGATAGAAAATTAAAACAAGAAAATAAAATTTTCTGAAATTTCAATTATCATTGAATTTTTCGGAGGTTAACTAATCAGTCGGTGACTCTATTGCAATTCAATATAAATTGACTTTTGTTGGATTTCCCTTTATTTATACTTACTTTAAATGCAAATTGACTTATTTATTTCATCCACTAATACTAATTTCAACCGCGCTCTCCATATTTTGGATATATTGAGTACATGAAATCCTATTTTGAGTAATGATATTCTTGTTCTAAGTTAAAAAAACAGGTTCTAAAGTTTTCTACTGAAGAGTCACGTTCTCCGGTATGTTATTTTTTTCCACGACTCAAGAAAAAGTAGTTTTGAATCAAGGAAAATAAAACACCACGAGTAAAGATAATTCTGTGAGCGCATGCTAATGCCGGAATAAACTCGGGAATTTCTTCATACTGCAGAGACTCTTCTCATCAAAATCAGGAATCTGGAGGCGATCAATCGATCATCGAATCAGATCCTAAAGGAACCCAATGAAATTACCTTGAATGGAATCCTTCCAATGAATTTTCTCTCCTCCTCTCGAACAAAACTTCAATTTAAAAACACTAAACAATCACTGAGTAATTATCGACAATTTCCTTCATCATCAAACAACACACAACCATTCAAAATTACACATAAAAAATCACAATTCTATAACTCACAAAGAAAAGGTTTGAAAAAAATGAATTTAAACAGAGGCGCGTGTTCTTGCGTATAACAAATTTTTCTTGCTATTCAATTAAGAGAGAAGAAATGTTGAATTGGACAGCAACTGTTTAGTGGGACTCACGAACGACTTTCGAGTCCTGCCGCAAGACTGATCGACCCGCAAATCGACTTAGTGCGCAAACGACGCTGGATCGTACGTAGAGAGCGACCAACGAATCAGACAAAGTCCCAGACTTCCCCTCCCATTACTTCTCGCCTCAGTATTTTTCTCTCTCTCTCATTCTTTTCTCCCACCTTACAATGTTTTCCCCACTTTTTCTTCATGATTTTTTTCTTCGTTACCTTCACATCGTTTGTCTGATTTCGATGATGATTGATATACGTAACGCATTATTCAATGTTTATCGTAGATCTCTAATCATCCTCGATGCATATTTTAATAGTATGATAAGACTGTAAGGAATATAGAGGGAGATGAGCAAAGGTTAGAGAGGTTTTTCGAAAAAATTTTTTAGAATGATGAGAAAAAGTGAAAGTTCGGGACTGATTTTTATTTGTAACGACCTTCAGAGGTGATATGGAATCTTAATCGTTCACACATTTTCTTTTACTGGAGAAAAAATTATCATTCTTTTACTTTGAAAATAGTAGATTTTATTATTAGGCCCATAAAGGATTTTCGCCTTCGGCTCGGATTATAATTACATTTGTCAGAAAATACTTTGTGGGTCTAATGATGAAATCTACTATTTCATTACTGAGTCAACCCTTTTTGGGCCACTATTGAGTGGCAATCGTGTCTTAGGGATCAAGTGAGGAGAATCAGTGTAGTTATCACGACGCCATTCGTTTCTCTTGTGTGACCCTTTATAAACTTTTCATGGATGAAATCAACTCTGGAAACGCTTTTTAAAAATATTTTCTAGCTTCCTCACTCAGCAGTCTATTCTGCTACAGTGGTCATTTCAATTAGGGCTGCACACGAGATCAGATAAGACGAGAATTTAGAGGTTATCGTCTTGAGTTCGAAAAATATCCAAATTTTGAGTACCCTCTCGGACTCGTGAGTATGAAAATTTAAAAATATGTTATCGATCATAAATCAAGTGAAATAATAAGAAGGCTCGCCCGTCTATCTTGTGAGGCTCAAACACTGTGAGAGTCAAACATCGCCAAGGTCATACTTTGCAAGGATCACACTGCGCAAGGGTCATGTCTTTTGGGACTTTAACGTTACCAGGGTCATCATGCGTAGGACAAACGACAGAGGCAAGCAGGACAATCAACAGGATCGAACGGAAGAGCCTTCTGATTATTTATTTATGTTAACAGTAAAAAAGATATGTGCATAGCAACAGGGTGATGTTCACATTCTCGCGATTCACATTATAAAGTGTCAGAATCAAGTTACAACGTTGGCAGCGCCTGTCCAACTGATCCCCACATCCAACGTCGAAGTGTTGCCACAACTGCATTTAAATGTGGGTTGTAGAACCATGGAAAACGTTTTATTCTCACTTTAAATTACTTATGAGAGTAAAACGAAAAATTAATTCAGTGTTGTATCTTTTTTCTTTTTTTGAACAAAAATCGAATTTCTTCTCGTCATATATATATAAATATATATCCGGACCTCGGAGATGAAGATTGTGAGGTTGTTTATGTTTGAAATCTGGCAGAACTGCACGGTGTCGAAAATTGTATGATAAACTATTAAATGTCCATGGATAATTAGATTTTGAAACAAAATATGTATTTTTCTTCAAGTGATAACAGTTTTCAGTTTCATGGGGACAATGGTTTGAATTAGGTTATGGTGAGATGCGAGGGACAAGACGACACTTGTGTAATTATTTCAACAACATGAGTATTATCTGCAAAATAAACATAAAAACAAATGTTTTTATAAAAATATCTATCAAGTCAACATTTTTACACAATTTGTGTAACCGAGAATTTTGTTCGGTCGGTCCTAAAAGGAAATCAATCCATCTCGTCAAAAAATACAATCCCCATAGAAAATCAAACAAAAAATTGAATGGGAAAAACAAACTAAGTCTGAAATCTGAATAAATGGTCAAAAGTCGGTAAAAACCACGAATCTGGAGTAAAACTGTTTATTTTCCTTCAGTTAACAATTGAAAGGATGTTCTATCTTGCGAAAAAAAAGAGTTGAATTGAAAAGAACAACTTTCTCATAATATGAAAACAATTCTGTGCTTATTTTGAAAAAATGAATAAAATCTCCCTGAAAAACATAAATAAATGTTTTTGTAAAAAAACTGTGCCAAGAAACAGTTTTGTTCAGTTTTTACTGAAAAGCTTAAATTTAAAAAAAATCAAAATAAATGAAAAAGAAAGCCAAGTCAGGAATCTCAAATAAATGGGTATAGTACACGATCAGATTTCTGTAAGAAAAATCGTTCTCAATAGGAAAAGAATTTTTAAAAAATTCTCCACAAAATAAAAAAATCAGTAGAAGCAGGACCAACGTTTTTGGTGCGGATTTTTTCTGCTCACTATCTCAATCTGATCCTCCATCTGCTGATTCACGCAAGTTTAAAAATTTAAGCTTTCCAGTAAAAACTGAACAAAACTATTTCTTGGCACAGTTTTTTTTACAAAAACATTTGTTTTTGTTCTACAAAAACACCGAACGCCTTGCGAGAGCTAAGGCGAAGCTGCAACTGAACGATACTATGTAATACAAAAATTTGATCAAGGCAACTTCTCTCAGCCCTTAAGCCAGCCTGACTTTCATTAAGAATGTTCTCTTTATCCGCCTTATTTCTGAATTCTACTTGTTAAAATTTGAGTAAAGAGTTTCGTCGGACAATTGCATAATGCAATACCCCTATAATTTAGCGGATCAAATTTATGTCCCTTCTTAAACAACATGGAAAGAGCCGCCGAACCCAAAGATGCGAGCCTTCTGATTATGTTGCTTAATTAGTCATTATTCTGATCATGTCACTTCTGATTATGTTGCTTAATTAATCATTATTCCATCTTTGTGAGAGTCCTACCTGGGCCTCCTGATTGACCCTCATGATTGTTGGACCCTTATGATTATTCCGCTTGCCTTTTCCGGTTGAGCCCTGCAGTTATATTACCCTTTGTTTGAATCTTGCGATCTGTGGCCCTTTCAAGATCCCGGGAAGAAATCTCT